TTAAAAAAACAAATCAATAGACCAAGTCGTTTTAAGTTTTAAGTTTTAACAACATTTTTTGTCACAAAACTGTAAGCACAGGAAATAGGCGAAGTTGAAAGCAGTCAAATTTCTACACCAAGCCGCCACCAACTCCCCATGAGCAATTGGCTGACTGGCCCAGTCAGGCTTCAGCCGGTCGGATCTCAGCAGAGTCACCGCTACTTCAATTGCAGAGCAGCGAGGAGATTGGTGCTTTAAGTCTTTGAGAGAGAGAGAGAGGAATTGTTTTTGACAAAAATTGAAATACGAAACGGAGTGTGAATAGCACGGCCCACAAGGGTGCAATTGCCAAATAGTTAACCAACTGATAGTCATAGCTAACTTAATCATTAGTTTGTTATAAGTAAACAATAAATTATGCTGGTTAATTTTTAACTGCGATGGGTTATCAACTTATCATCTAGGCTACCAGAGACGCCTGGTCCAGGGCGCCCGACCGGGGCGAACGTGCCCCAGGGGGTCTTTTCTTTTATAGTGGGGCAATTTTGCTTACTGAGATGTGCCCAAATCTGGACCTATTTTTTAATTTGGTGATGTCTATGGGGTGTGAACGGGTTGGAAGGGGCTTAAAGGGGTGTGAGATGATATACTATTTTATTATTTCTTTCAGTAAAAACTTAAAAGTTAAAAAATTCATAGCAAATTTTGGAGTGACCTTCAGCCAAAGTTTTTTGATTTGCAATTCTATTTTTTTTTATTTTTGTCGCCTTCTTTTATTTCTTTCACTAGGTTGTCATGGATCTTGAGCAGGATGTTGCCTGGACCTGGTTGGGCCACACGGGCCAATCAGATGCAACCCGGACGGCCCAGCTGGTAGCCCACATTATCATATCAAATGGCCCCAAGGCTTTCTTAAACTTAATGCTATTAAACTGGCAGAGGGGGGGCTGTCTCTTATACACATCTAGATGTGTATAAGAGACAGGAGAGAGAGAGAGAGACCTCAAATTGGCACCCCGCTCTCCAAGTATGGTGGCATCGCCATCAGGAAAACTCGCGAAATCTCCTTTCAGAGCACAGGCATGCACCACCTGCAAAGACAGTGCCCATCATCGTTAGCAATCAGCCCAGAGTCCCAGGTATGGAAAATGGCAGGTCAGGGGGGTACAGCCACATGTGGCCTTGACAATGTTTTCCATACCTTCTTTTTCTTCAAGTTATACCTGCGGCCTAATGGGTAGTTTTGGCATTTGACAAAATAATAGCCTCAGGGCCAGTGGTGGTTTAGAATCTTTAGATCCCCTCCAGTACCTCCGGACCCGACCTGCCGAGCCCAACAATCACCTCACGGATTTGGGACTGGATGGTGTGTTTTCAATGGGCTGGGTTGTATGGATTTTTCAGTGGGAGGGTGTAGATGGGCTTCAGGTTGATTTGCATAGCATGGCCCTGGGTGAATTTGGATGGAATTGCAGTGACCGAGGGATGCACGGATGGACACATGGCAGGATGGAGATGGATGGATGGATTTCATTGATTGATTTGATTTCATTGATTGATTGATTGGTTGATGGATGGATAAATGGATGGATGGACGGATGGATGGATGGACGGATGGATGGATGGATTGCGGATGGAGATCCTCACCAATTGGCTTGACAATGGATTGTTACAAATCGGTTGGCCATTGCCATTAAAAAAAAAAGCATTTTGAGTTTAACAACTTTAACTATTAAAAAAACGAATGAAACCGGAGTGGTTGACTCGTCTCCACCCGGCCAACTGGAAGAGGACCGCCATCAGAAGACTATTACCATAGCTGCTGCTGTACTGTTTGCCACTATCTTCCCCCCAACAGAATGCACCCTCATCATGACTGTATTGGACTGGAAGAATAGCTTGTATATACGTTCATGAGGAGGGTGCTTCATGTTCGCAGGACGAGGGCAGTACACTCCTCCATTTGGTATTGAGAAATGGCCCATGGAATGTTGTCTTTAGCAGTGCCTTTTTATTTATTTATATATTTTGATATTTATTAAACAAGGGCGAGCAGCGGTCCCATGTAATTCAGGAATTCACTGGCACTAAGTGCGCAGCAGGCGGTCATGGGGCTTGAACCCACAACCTCCTGAATGCCACTTGCGTGCCTAACCAACGACTGTGATAGTCCACGTGATAGCCCTGATCGGTATTGTGTATGACAGTATGACCAACACGGGTGTGGGTTGTGTATGGTGTGTGGGAGAATGTTGGCCATAGCCACTGCTGCCACTCGATGCGGGGTGGGGGAAGTAGATGGGAGGTGCAGCTATTGTCAAAATGCTCGGTCTTTGCATTAGCCGCCCCCCCCCCCGCCCCTCCCCCCTCCTCCTCACTAGCGGTGCCACCATACTCCCTGACCACCGCCGATTAGGGTGGGGGGCAACATTACATGCATCCCCTTAATTGTGAGAGGTAGCTATGGGGTTTGCCCCCTTGATTGTGAGAGGCAGCTATGCTTGTAGGGGTCCCCTGTATAGGCTTAGGAGTAGTGGTAGGTAGATAGTGAAATGTGAAATTGAGAGAAGAATATAGCTTAGTTTTGTAAAGAAAACAAAAAAGAAGAAAACTGCATTCATTGGCCTAGTTCCTGGCACAATTTTTCTTCCTTTTCGCGGGTGCTGCCAGCCATTTTGTTCCCTTAGCCCTAGACCCCCAAAAGTTCCAGAGCTCTGGTCACATATACGCTCTCATCGACTGGATTCGCCTGCGGTGCGTACCTGGTGGTTTGAACCACCAGTACTTGGCCATATACCCGCCACAACTTTTTCGGGGCCGGTAGGCCGTTGACAAATCTCATTGATGGCCATGGTCACGTTTAAGGCCTCCCAACGTCGTCGCAGTGAGGGGCCCGCGGCCAATGTGTGGGCCAAGTACTGGTGGTTTAAGTGCTATTTATTATAATTTACTACACGTCCCTGTTATTGGCAAGGGTGTCCAACTTTTCTACTTGGTTTCCGAAAAATGGCATTCTGCAATCAGACTCGTTCTTATTCACACTTTTCATGCATGTAAACAGCAGCGCAGCAAACTGGCGACATGCGCCGACTCAAAACTCAGAGATATGGCTTCCTGATATGAGTTCACTTTCAACTGGCTATGGCGACTCAGCGCCCAAACAACTCACTGTTCACACACACCGGATCACCCTGGATATTCCACACGCGTAACTCTGAGCACTCGCACATACACACACACACTTCACACTAACTACAGCTATGGCAGCTATGGCTGCCTCTACCCTATCGCTATGCTAACTCCTCCTCTCTCGCCCACTGCGTCCTCCGGGCTCACTGCAGACCTCCTTGCACAAGTCGCTGTGGCAGCGCTTCCGCATGGCTCACGCAGGAATGAATGAAAGGCTGGGCGCTGCCTCTTGATTTATACTTCGGAAACTCGTTGGTCTGCCCTTTGCCATCGGCCCATGGTGCTCACAGTCCCCCGTTGTACTTGCTGGACCGGACTGGGACTGACTGGACCTTACCGCTGACTGTCTGTGGACTCACTGCTATCCTACCGTCGTGGTACTGCGATTGCACTGCAGTTTAGTCCACCACTTGCCTCGCCACTTGACCACTTGCCCACTTGCCGACCTTCTAGAAGGACTACAGCTGGACTTCTGGAACTTGCTAAGACTTCTACTCTATAGACCTACAGATCGAACCCCTGCTGCCTATGGACCTACAACAGACCTACCAACTGTCTACGAATACACAGGTCACAGGTTCAACTCTCGGGGTCTACACCGATACTGTACATAGGTAGGGTGAGGTCTAGGGATCAAACCCTGGGTACTGCATCTGCTAAAAGGTGAAAACCGTTTCAATTCAAGCCTTCAAGGTAAAAATGGCAGTATTTGGCCCAATTTTCAGTCTAGATACAGCAATAATGACCAGGTGTTCGGAAACCAAGTAGAAAAGTTTAACCCCCTCATGTCCGTGCTTGATGTTTAGCCGGACTGTCCCTACGCTATAGGGTAAGAAGACAGCAAGCACTGACATGAGGGGGTTAATGACAGACTGTTTTGTCAGCCTCTCGTCGAGTGTTTAGGAGGCTGAGCCATCAACAGTCTGCAAAATCGCCCTGTTGATGCAGACCGCAGTCTACTCCAACTCCTGTTGCAAGTGGGATGCCAGACAGGGCAGGAACACGGGCAGCGGGGCAGGCACCAAGGCAACAAGAAGCGAGCTGAGGCGAGCAGCGTTGCAACACAAGGCAAGCAGAGCAGGCCAGGCCCACCTGGCAAAGCACGCAGCAGTAGGCAGGCATGCGGGTGGACGGGTGAGCATGCAAAAACACAAGGCAAGCGGGCAAGCAGTATAGCAAGGCTTAGTTAAGGCAAGCGGATGGGCAGCCAAGCAGCATAGCAGCATATCAGAACCAACAAGGCAGCGCACACGCACAGACCAAACCAGATCATCTGCAACTCTACAGGCCGGTCATTATGGCAGTATTTGGGCCAATGTTCAGTCTAGATACAGCAATAATGACCGGGTGTTCTCTTCGGGTGTCTGATGAATGTCTGTCATCACCACTTATGACAAATGCTCATCCATCCCGAGCACAGCGCCCCCCCGAATAGTGTTGCAGGCACTCCATGAAATTTGATGAAAACAGTCCTAAAGGTGGTGCACTCCAAGCACCAAGGAAAAGGCCAAAGCACGCTCAAAGTATACAACCACACCACAATGACAAGAGACTATGTACTAGTTGGATAGGAACAAAGGAAGTTCTACATAATGTAGTTGTGTGTGTGCACTCTCTCTCTCTCTCTCTCTCTCTCTCTCTCTCTCTCTCTCTCTCTCTCTCTCTCTCTCTCGCGCGCGCGCGCGCGCGCGTGCGCAAGAGAGAGAGAGAGAGAGAGAGAGAGAGAGAGAGAGAGAGAGAGAGAGAGAGAGAGAGAGAGGTGTTTACTAGGACTGCCATTCTTTTGGATTGCATCGCAGTTATTGAGTGTGAGATCCATCGAGCATTATATATGATGGTGACGTGTAAGAGGTGAAGGGGACAACAATTGTCAGCACTCACTCTTCTGTACTTTTCTTCATCCCAGGGCTCCCAAAGAATGATATTGCTCTTCACGCTACCTGTGAGAATAAATGGCTGTTGTGGCAACGAGCACAAAATTGAAAATTAGGTTGCAAAAATGGTTAAGTAGCTCACAACAATGTTCGTTATTATTATTACCATTTTGCTATTAATTAGTCATAAAGTTAAACCACCAGTACTTCCTACATGCGTGCCCATTAACAAGCCACAATTTTAGGAAACGTATGGGCCACTACAGAAGCGCCCAAATTCATCCGACTAGAAACGTTTCTGCTCTATTTTGTTTTTGGCGGCCGATAGCTGGGCCAAGTACTGGTGGTTTAGCAAGAAGTATAACAATTGATCCGTCAAAATTGGAATGACACAGAGACGACAGGCACAAATTGAGAAATGCTACAAATAAAAAAAACATTAAAAAAAGGTACTACAGCAATGAAAAGATATGTGAGGTGAGAGAAAAATATATGGCTGTCCCCCGATGAGGAGAAGACAGCTTAAAAAAAAAAAAAAAAAAAAAAGAGTAAATATTACATAATCGTTATACAAACCACCACTCCTTCCACCATTTTCAAATTCAGTGGAACGGTTGCTCTCCCTCTCTCTTTGATAATAACTGCTTGGGCTTAGCAGTAGCAGCGGAAGAAAAAAAAATGCAGAAAAAAAAAAGTGAAGTTGCAAACCTCAGTCGTTAAAATTTATTTCTCCACCTTAGGACTTTCTTCTTTTTAAATGTGTTTTTGTTTTCCCAAAACACTCGATCAAATCAATAGACAGTCGAGCGGCCTAGCTCAGTTGGTAAGGCACGCAAGTGGCATTCAGGAGGTCTTGGGTTCAATCCCCATTGGCCTCATGTACCTTCCTGGGCAAGCTTGGCACCCGCCACCTAGAGATATGCCGTTGATCCCCCCGAGTGGCATTGAGCAGAGACTGCTGATGCTCATGGGGGGAGGGGACCGGATGGGAGGCACAGTGACTGGCCCATCGAAGAAGCTCGGTCCTGATGCTACCAGCTGACCCCTGTCCGGTATCGCCCACCTGCTGGTGGGTGCAGCTCCAGCATGTTCCCTCGTTGGAGGTTTGAGGCTTTGAGACGTATGTCGGTGCTACGGGGTTCCCGCAATACAATAATGACAATAAAAAGACCCGAAAGGCCGTCCTGTCCAGATTCGACAGGTAACTGAATTGGTTGGGCTTAAAAGAATTAGCCTTTTTAAAAAAACAAATCAATAGACCAAGTCGTTTTAAGTTTTAAGTTTTAACAACATTTTTTGTCACAAAACTGTAAGCACAGGAAATAGGCGAAGTTGAAAGCAGTCAAATTTCTACACCAAGCCGCCACCAACTCCCCATGAGCAATTGGCTGACTGGCCCAGTCAGGCTTCAGCCGGTCGGATCTCAGCAGAGTCACCGCTACTTCAATTGCAGAGCAGCGAGGAGATTGGTGCTTTAAGTCTTTGAGAGAGAGAGAGAGGAATTGTTTTTGACAAAAATTGAAATACGAAACGGAGTGTGAATAGCACGGCCCACAAGGGTGCAATTGCCAAATAGTTAACCAACTGATAGTCATAGCTAACTTAATCATTAGTTTGTTATAAGTAAACAATAAATTATGCTGGTTAATTTTTAACTGCGATGGGTTATCAACTTATCATCTAGGCTACCAGAGACGCCTGGTCCAGGGCGCCCGACCGGGGCGAACGTGCCCCAGGGGGTCTTTTCTTTTATAGTGGGGCAATTTTGCTTACTGAGATGTGCCCAAATCTGGACCTATTTTTTAATTTGGTGATGTCTATGGGGTGTGAACGGGTTGGAAGGGGCTTAAAGGGGTGTGAGATGATATACTATTTTATTATTTCTTTCAGTAAAAACTTAAAAGTTAAAAAATTCATAGCAAATTTTGGAGTGACCTTCAGCCAAAGTTTTTTGATTTGCAATTCTATTTTTTTTTATTTTTGTCGCCTTCTTTTATTTCTTTCACTAGGTTGTCATGGATCTTGAGCAGGATGTTGCCTGGACCTGGTTGGGCCACACGGGCCAATCAGATGCAACCCGGACGGCCCAGCTGGTAGCCCACATTATCATATCAAATGGCCCCAAGGCTTTCTTAAACTTAATGCTATTAAACTGGCAGAGGGG